CATTCCTCTACACATTTAGCCCACATTTCAAGGTACCCAGCTGGGAGAAGGAACAAGGATAGGATGTCCAGATACTGGACAAGGAATAATGCTATCACCTCCTCTACATTTATTCCAGATTGGATCAGGTCTATATGACCATAGCACACAAAATGTTTAGGGTCTCCACTTAGGAGTTGCTTAGCATGGGATTTAGAAAGAGAATGCCGATGAGAGTCAGACATCACTGAAAGGTCTTTCCCACATTACTACCCCTTGGCAATCTCATTCTGGTATGGGCTAAGATTGAGAGTCAGGAGCTTCCTCAGAGAAGAAGGTGGTTCCCTTCCATACAACAGTTCTAAGATGGCCTGTTTGTTAATTCTCCAGATTGAAATGTCTGTGTACTGTTTTGTGTTTCTAGGTTTTTAAGTGGAGTGGAGAAAACTCATATTTCATCAATGGAGACATAAGTTCTTTAGAACTTGGTGGTGGAGGGTAAGACTTTTGTTGCTCTTTTGCCATTTAACCTGAGAAAATGTCTATTTTAACCCAAGGTAATTAAAACGTTAATGATAGTTGACTTCAATTAGTCTGTGTGCATAGAATTATTAGGATAGTGAACTAACACTTGACCCTAAGAAATCAAAGATAAAATTATTCCTGTGCCTATGTTAGAGACTACTATCTTTAGGAAAAGTAGGTCATTTAAGTGAAATGCAAGAAATAATGCTCTTTATTGGGCAAGCACTTTTGAGGTTTGTCTGTGACATAAAGGAAAGAAGATATGACAGTGGAAGACAAAAGGATGTCCCTCAGAGGTTGTAAGTATTTAACCATTTTTTTCTTGTTTTTAGGGGACGATTTGGTTTGTGGCTAGATGCTGATTTATACCATGGTCGGAGCAACTCATGCAGCACTTTTAATAATGATATTCTTTCCAAAAAGGAAGACTTCATAGTTCAGGACCTAGAGGTATGGACATTCGAGTGAAATTCAGACTGCCTTAAAATATATCATTAAATAGACTGGGTTGGCTCGGCCCTCCTAAAGCTGGCTGAAGACGAAGCTCCACAGCAAGTGTCCCATCCTATCACAGCGCTTGCTTTCTGCCATCATCTCCGAGCATGATCACATCGCAGAAAGATTCTGAAAGCTACATGTGGAGGGCAGACACTGAAGAAAGGAATTGGAAATCCAGATTGTCGAAAGACTGTACTTTCCACTTCTTTTGACCCCATATTGTGAAGATTCAGAATGTTTATAGCTGTATAAGGTGAATGCAATTTTTATTTTTGGTAACTGTGAAAAAAAAGATACTGTGGAAATATATACATGCCTTGTGTATTTATCAGCATCATTTTCATTACCAAAATGTACAGCCACGAAAAGGTTGGTCTCAGAAAAATTGAAAGGACATAGCACTTAAAGGGAATGTATGATTTTTTTAATGTTTTATTTATTATTTCTAGTATGTTGCTAGAAATGTGTTGGTAAGTTTTTTTTTCTTTTAATGTGTCAAATCTTGAAATAAAAAATTTTGTGCTATGTTTTGGGAACAAATCCTTGATTTACACAGTTTTCTATTGAATTTTCTTTGCCCTGATTGTTTAGGGTGATAGGTTTTTGGAAGTAAATATATCTATATCTATACACACACACACACACACACATATATATATATACACATATAGATATAGATATAGCTCATTATCAATGTTTATTGATTTGACTCTTATAGGCCAGCTTCTCTTGTTTAGTCATTAAGAGGTACACTGAACATATTTGTGCAAGGAAGAATATACCATTTGTCTTTCACATCATAAACTGGTATTTATAGAAATGGAAACCTTTATGAACAGGCCCCGCTTCTGAAAGGAAAATGTTTCACTTTTTATGAAATCATGTGTGTTAATAACAAAACCTTAATTTTCATGGGTTTTTTTTGGCACACAACTTCTCTCGAGCAGTTATATTAGTAGGAAGGCCTTTCTTAAAAGGAACTAAGTATTTTAATTTCTCCATTTTTAAGTTGAAATGATAAATGTCAAATTAGGCCAATTTTCTGGGTTTCCAGAATCTTCTTTGAGACAAATCAGTGCAAAGAAATACATTCTATCCCAAATTGGAACAAAATGAAATCTATTTTTTTCAAATACCAACCCAGTTTCACACCATAAAACATCTTCTGTTAAAAAAGTAATAAAACCTTGTTGAAAACTTAGCAAATATCAGTAATTGTCAGACTTTTATAAAAGCCAAAGACTGCTAATAGAAAAAATTTAAATAATAGCCAAAGCTGGTAGTCATCACAAATTATTTCCCCAGTGATCTTTGAAAGGAAGTTAATAATGAAGAGCATTTACACCTCTATTTTTAAAAAGAAAATACTCATAGAATATTTCTTTTAGATTACTCTCCTATTTTAAACTATTTGTAAGAGAACAAACCAATTGACAGATCAACAATTATTATACTACACTCCCATTGCTATAAAATTTTAAATCTGTAGCCCAGACATACTTTTCACACATTCTCCTTTTGAGAATTAACATCCTTTTTTGGTTAACAACATATTGGCAATTTAACCTTAATCTAGCCATTCAAAAAATGAGTTGATGGAGATACCAGAAATCTCTTGATCATGTTTACCATTTATGCCATTTGTAACCATATGCTATTAATGAACAAAATGGTCATTTCTTTTGCATATAGCTTACTCTTATCTAGTTGAGTCTATGATACTATACTCATGAGAGTATATCCAGATGCTTTGTTCTCTATTTAAAACAGTATTGTCCAACAGAAATGTGTGACCCTTCATTTATGGATATTGACTATATGTAATGCAGTGCTATACCAATATTTTCAATAAAGGAAATTACGCATTCAGTGTGATTCTCTTTTCCAAGGATTCATTTATCATGTATTTATTGGGCACAAGTGTACCTCAGAATCATTGAAGCTTTGTGCCAGACAAAGCTTGCTGTGAGTTATGTTTACACTCTTATGTGGTCTGTTAAGCATTCTATAACATTTAAAACAAACAATATACATACCTTCATTTAAAATGCTTCACTGTTGAAAATGCTGATTGATTATCTGAGTGGCAGGTCTTGCTTCAGCCAGGGCTGCCATAAAACCTTCTTTATATGAAAAAATAGCAAAATGTTATATGAGCCACAGTATGACAAGGCTTGCCAAGATGAGGGGCTTTTTACTTGTATGAGACAGTGATGAACAACCCAGGACTAAACTAAGTCCAATGCTTAAGTTTTCCTTGCTGCTCCAGAAACTCTCTCTTCATTCTCTGAAGTCACCTTCCTATTCTCTTGTCAGTTTCTGGAAACTGCTCCTGTAATAGTTGCTAAAGACAGCGTTTAGATTTATCTCCTAGTTTCATCTTTGTTCTTAATCTTTCTAGCTATTTTATGAATACTAACCTTTTTACTTCTGTCTCAACCTATTTCCCAATTTCCTTGAGGGCTGTTTTCCCCTCGGATAACTTTCTGTCACCTAGCTCCTACAGATCAAGGTGCCAGGTGATCTTCATTGTTTCTTAATCCCTCATTCCTTTAAGTTCATATCAAAAATCAGGGGAGGGGGAAAGCAACCAAATGTTTGTTCAGACTGTGTTGAAAATGATTTGGATTCATTCCCATGCTACAGACTACCAGGTAGACCATAAACCAATGTGAAATATGTTCTTAGTTTGATCTCTTGATTCCTAAGTTTTAGAGAAGACAAAGAAAAGAACTATTCTGCTTTTTGCATTGAGAATCCAGTAAAGCAGAAAGTGGTTCCCAGATCAATGTCATTCTCAAAATAACTAACACAAACAGCAGTTTAGCCAGATAGAAAAAGATAAAGAGGTCAGGAGCCCAGGGAAGCTCTAGAAAACTCAAGATAAGGACACTTGCCCCTATATAATATCGGAAGTATCTGTGACCACTTCCTGATGCCCAGTAGGAGCAGATTTTCTTTCTCATCTAGAAGAATCTTTAGCCCTGAGCACTATTTCCTCTTTTCAGCTCCACTGTCCATAGTGACCTCCTAATAGAAGATCCACCATTACTGAAAAAATTAAACCCTACAATTCACACCAAATCCTAAGGTCTCATTCCCTAACCAATTTCAGAATCTCTATTGATTCAGTATCGGATTTAGGGCTTTCTTGATCTGGTCAATCAAGATATAACAATAGTGCTTCTTAATAGACACGTTTCAAGTCTTTTATTTACCTTTTCGATGAGCACTTCCCAGTAGAACATTCTGTGATGATGGAAGTTTTACACTAATTTCACTGTACTTAATGGTAGCCACAAATTAGCAAATAAATATGTTGACCACTTAAAATGTGCGTTGGGTGACTGCATTTTAAATTTGAGTAACTACATGTGACAATCAGTGGCCACATATTAAACTGCACAACCTTAAGTCAAGATGTTAATGCCAAGACTTACTTCTTCCAGCTCTGAGTTCCTCAGTAGAAGACAACTTCAGTTTCAGGCACTTTGATTTGTCTGCCATTATTGACCTTCCTGGAGCTTGGCCCTTCTAAGGTTTTAGTGTGTCCTCCTTTCCCACTATTTAGTGAGCAAACCAAAAAGATGAGTTGCCTGAGAGTCTTTGATAGTGATTAATACTGATTTGTTACTACCGGATTACTGATATACTCCAAGGCCCAAGTTTAGACAAGTGTAACCCCTTGTCTCAGAGAAAGTTTTCCTTGTATAACCATTACACAAATTTTGTTCCTATTCTGGAGATTCCAGCTCTGTAAGGAAGTCATATCTATTCCATACCAGGCACCTATCCACAATGCTTTATGGAATGTGGAATAGTAAACCTGAAAGAAAACTTAACATCCAGCACGGGACCATCAGGAATACTAGAAACCACCAAGACTGTTTCACACAGTGCTTGCTGTTCGATGATCAATCATCCTCGCCAAGTTAACCAGCTAGGATACCCACTTGTCACATGTATACTCAGAGAACCCACCTGCACATACAGAAAGTTTTCAGTATCGTCTTGTTGCAATGAAAAGCAATCTGGAGCCGTGGGGTAACTTTTCTTTTCTGCAGCAGTGCTTTATTTTCTCATATACAAGAGCCACATGGAAAACTGGCATTGGGAGGATCAAGGTTCCAGGCCAGCACAGAAAGAAAAATCTACAAGACCATCTCCACAGCGGGAATCTGGACATGATGGATGTGTGCCTGTTGTCTCTTCCAACTACTGGAAGCCTAAAGTAAGTGGATCTTGGTTAGGGTTACTTACAGTTTTGGGACTGGCTGTTTTAACTTATGTTACCACAATGTTTTGCAAAAGTAATCGCACCAAAATATCTCACTCATGATACTATACGACTTCTTAGTTTTGGCCTTCCCTTGAATACTGGTGAAGGTGAACATTTTTAAATATGTTTCTTAGTCATTCATATTTTCTCCTTCTGTGAATTGCTACTTTTCCTCTCTTCTACCTAATTTTAGATCTATTATTATTACTAGTGTTTTTGGCTATGCTATCGATTGAACTCAGGGTCTCATATTTGCTAGGCAAGGACAATACCAATTGAGCCATACTCCTAGTCCTGTCTGTCTGCTTGAAAACAGTTACATGGTATCCTTGCTATTCTGGCCAATAAAAGACAGTAGTCAATGTATCAATCCTATTTATAAACTGAAGAGGAGAAATAGTTAACATGGTATCAGATGATCTCAGGTTCTACAAAGGTATTGTCTTGTCTCCCTTAAAGTGATGATAGTGAATTGGTCAATGTGGTTTTCCTTTACAGAATGGAAATGTATATTCACTTATTTGGTTATATGATTTATTTTTAAGAAGTAGCATCATGCTGGATACTGGTGACTTGTGACTGTAATCCTAACTATCCAGGAAGATGAGATATGATCAGCTTTGTTTGGGGCCATTTCAAGCAGACAAATCTAAGAGACTCTTATCTCCAACTAGCCAGCAAAAAGCTAAAAGTAGAGCTGTGGCTCAAGTGGTAGAGCAACAGCCATGAATAGAAAAGCTAAGCAAATGAGGCTCTGAGTCAAAGCCCCAGTACCAGCATAAAAATAAGTAATAAAACTGCATGATGGGGCTGGGAATGTAGCTTAGTGGCAGAGCATGCATGAAGCCTTGGGTTCAATACCTTAGTACCACATAAACAGAAAAAGCTGGAAGCGGAACTGTGGCTCAAGTAGTAGAGTGCTAGCCTTGAGCAAAAGAAGCTCAGGGATAGTGCCCAGGCCCTGAGTTCAAGCCCCAGGACTGGCAAAAAAAAACAACAGCATCATGTAGAGCAACTGGAATATTTTCTTAGTACTTAGGGACTGCGTGATATTCTAAGCACTTTACATATATTGCCAGTCTTCATATTAACTTGTGATAATCTCTAGACAGATACGACTATTATTTTTTTAATGAGGTGGAATCACTACAAAATGGTTTCTTTCTTAAAGCATCAAATTGAGATAAGCCAATTCTTTTTTCCACAATGTTAACCCACAAGCATAACCACAGTAAAGAACAAGTTGGTTGGGGAGTTCCCAGAAGCAATTCAAGGAATTGGTGGTTCTTTGAGTGTGCTAGGTAGGAAAGAATATGACAATGGGGTAACTGAAAATGTTGAAAGATAAAAATCAGAAATTACTAGGAAACTGTGTAGAAATGTAATTATGAAATCCTGCCACTCCATAACTAATGCTAAAGTAAGTTAATAAATAAAACTGAATTTAAAAGTTACTAGGAAATTAATGAGTAAAAACGTGCTAGTACAGGTACAAGTGTAAAAGGTCATCGAATTTCAGGTTTATGAAGAGTCTTGGTGGCTTAACATGAGGAATTTGCCAAATGAATGAATTGTATCAGAAAAGCACGTAGGCAAAGGGTGTTAGAACTTGGATGTTGGAGAGAGTGGGAGTCCTGGGCTGGTGTAAGATGGTGGTAAGAGTCAGGTGCTGAAGATCTGGACCCCAGAGAATGATCTAAAAGTCAGTGCATATTGGCACTATGCTTCATGCTACAGAATGATGTTCCAAAAAGCAAGCAGGGCATTGGGATTGGCATATGTGGGAATGAAATCACCTGGAGCTGGCACAGAGAAGCTAGGAAAATACCAACCTTGCTTCCAAATCTCTCTCAGTATGTTGAGATGTGGGGAAAACAAGCAGTTTTTGTTTGTCAGGCTTCAACAGATAGTGATGATGATCTCAGAGAAAAGGCAAATTTCAGGTAAAGCAGGAAAATAAATGTATGGCTATGTGAGGAGGAGGAGGAGGAAGAGGCGGAGGAGGCAGAGGAGGATGTTGATAACTCTTTACAATGAAAATGTGGTTTTACAGTGGAAAGAGTTCCAAAGGAGGTTGGCAGAAAAAAAGTTTGAGGAAAAAAAAGAAGCAAAGGGAAGTTTAGACTTAAGTTACATATGTTCACTAACCCCTAAGCAAGCTAAGCAACCTTAGGGGCAAAATGCCTATGTTAACACACCTTCAAACACAACTTCTTTCATTTCCTTTCACCTTAAACTTTTTTCTTTCTTTCTTTCTTTTGTTTTTTGTATTGTGAACATACTGTACAGAGGGGTTACAATTACATGGGCAGGATAATGAGTACATTTCTTATCAAGCATTGTAGCCTCCTCCTTTGTTTACCCTTCACATACCTTCCCAGCCTGCCCCCGGCCGCCCCACCCAATCCTCCCCGGCCCCACCCCCCTGCACCAAAGTTGTAATGACAACTTGTACTTCTCATTGCTGCAATGGGTCCACCTGTATCCTTATTTGAACGACTTGTTTTTCCCCTTCCCCTCCACAAATTATACCAACAACAAATGCAGTGAAAGCAGGGGTTATACTGTGGGGGAGGGACATACAAAGCAACAAAGAAATAATCTTATAAATGCATTAGAAACAAATGCATGAAAGAAAAAAACATTTAAATACATATCTTAGGGTTCATTTTCCTAACATCACTTTATCTGACCTTTTCTGCTTGACTCATACATATACTAGATATTGCAAATAAAAACCATGGGACCTATGTTTCTTTGGGCTTGGCTTACTTCACTTAATATAATTTTTTCCAAGTCTTTCCAGTTCCTAACAAATGGGGCAATGTCATTCTTTCTGATGGAGGCATAGAATTCCATTGTGTATATATACCACATTTTCTTGATCCATTCATCTACTGAGGGGCATCTAGGTTCACCTTAAACTTTATGATGAGAGTTGGACATGCTTAAAGGTAGTCCTGTTTGACATTTTAACTTTTCAAACATGCTATGTGACTTTGATCTAAGCATACTCAAAATAGTGGTAGTAGTAGATACCACCTTTCCTTCTTGAAGCTATGTCCATAAACTGAGCTTGTTCAGAAATCTTACCATCCCTGAATCTGTAGTCTACACAAACATCTCCTGTGCTCTCCTTAACTGCTTTAGGTATTTTCCTTTTTTGGGGGGGGGATCCAGTTGTGGGGCTTGAACTCTGGGCCTGGGCGCTGTCCCTCAGCTCTTCAGCTCAAGGCTAGCGCTCTACCACTTGAGCCACAGCGCCACTTCCGGCTTTTTTCTTTTTGCTTATGTGGTACTGAGGAATCGAACCCAGGGCCTCAGGCATGCAAGGCAAGCGCTCTACCACTGAGCCACCTTCCCAGCCCTGGTATTTTCATTTCTTAACCATGATTTTTTTCCCACTCATAGAGATGTGAACTCATTGCATTACTTTGCACCCACTGTATTACTTTGAAGGGACCAGTAAGAACCGAAGTGAATAGAGATTTACTGGCCTTGAGAGTATGAGAAAGTATATGCCAGTGTGAATTTAATAAGACAACTAACGTGGGAGGTGTGCTAACTTATACAGTAGCAGTTCCCTGTTACTTTTGGAGATATGGGAAGTAACTCTCTGCTAATTTGTGTGGGCATGCAGACAGACTCCTCATCATCTAAATTATTCAAATGAAGCGGACTTATCCTGTGTCACATTTTTCTGTTTCTAAATTGGGAGTAACAGTATTCTCATTTTTTTATGAAAATCAAATCAGTGTAACCATATAAAATGCTTTAGAGAACTATATAATAAGAGAAAGAGTGAGTTGGAATTATTATATTGTTAGTCCCATCCAAATTTGATCAGCCGGGCGCTGGTGGCTCATGCCTGTAATCCTAGCTACTCAGGAGGCTGAGCTCTGAGGATCTCGGTTCAAAGCCAGCCCGGGCAGGAAAGACTGTGAGACTCCTATCTCCAATAAACCACCAGAAAACCGGAAGTGGCGCTGTAGCTCAAGTGGTAGAGCGCTCGCCTTGAGCTGAAGAGCTGAAGGACAGTGCCCAGGCCCAGAGTTCAAGCCCCATGACCGACCAAAAAAAAAAAAATGAATAAACTGAACTCTTTACTGAGCCTATAAAATTCAAGTATACCCTTGTTCCTGATTTTATTTTAAAAAACAATTGCTTTCACCTAGGGATCTACCCTGAACAACAGAAACCAGTATACAAAGACACATAAACCTCCATGTATGTTGCAGCACTGTTCACAATAGCCAAGATTTGGAAACAACCTAGATGTCCCACTACTGATGAGTGGATCCAAAAATTGTGGTACCTATACACAATGGAATATTATGCAGCCATTAGAAAGGACAAAATAATGGCATTTGCAGGGAAATGGATGGAACTAAATTATTTTGAGTGAGGTAAGCCAAGAACAAGGAGACAAACAGCACATGGTCTCTCTGATATGTGGATGCTGAAGCCAAAATGCAACAAGATATGACAAAGTAAACAGGACTTGAGAAACAAAGGACAGCTACTCATTTTGTCATATCATCACTAAATGACTCCATGTTCTTGACCATATATATGGTAGATATATGCAGTCAATGGAGGGAAGCCAGGAGGAACAGAATAAGTAGGAAACAACATACAACAAAGGGGTCCATCAGCTGCACTGGACATAGAAGAAAAAGAAGTAAGCAACCAAGACAGCAGTGGGAAGGGAGGAATGAGAGGGAAAGGGAACAGCTTACACTAAGCAAAAGGAAAGAAGTGTAAACATCCCCTGCTGTGGAAGAAATAATTTTTATTGTCAAAGCTCATAGAATTCACAAACTATATATACCATGATAATGATAATTTGCCTTGTGAAGGTTAAAATGTGTTTGTGACTTTAACTAAGTATCACTATTCCACAATACTGTGAAACTTGTGTAATCATCTATCTCAATTTTTTTATTT